TCGTATACTTATGGTCCTGCCACAAATGCGGACGCCTCTGGGATGCCCTCTCAACACAATTACCACTCAACACCTAGGCACTCACCTTACCAAGTGGCAAACGGACAATCCCCTCACACCGTATCTCCATCGTACTCATCGCAGAGCAGCATGGCCTCGTCAAATCCGCGGCCTGGGCATACCCACAATCGGTCGTCGTCTCTTCCGCATCATCCATACCTATCGGTATCGAATCACCCATATGGCGCGCATGACTCGCCACCAGCTCAGATGGTGGTTCATGGTGTTGATCAGATGCAGTATCCTGCTTCTCCCCAGCGCCCGTTTGCCTGTGATATGTGCGCACTCTCGTTCAATCGTCAGCATGACCTCAAACGGCATCGGGAGACGCATTCCGGCGAAAAGCCGTTCCTTTGCAATGGGGGATGTGGCAAGACCTTCACGAGGAAGGATGCCTTGAAGAGACACCAGGTCTGTTCATTCCGGTGCTAACTGTCTCGGCGTACCTACCTACCTACCTTCACAGCTCGTGAAAAGATGTGGCTCTGAGGAACAGTCCTGAAGATGCGACACTATTGGTTTCTTTCATAAGTGTGAGCAGCTCAGCGTCCATGTGCGCCGCACCTCGACTTACGAATGTGACAGATTTACTATTCGGCTTGTTCTGTCCATCTCATCCTATCGTATCGTCAGGCTGGTAGGTATTGGTGTTTGATTATAATTTTCTCCTTGATCGTGGGTATTCAACACCCATGTGTATATTTTGTAGCTATGTAGCTGTAAATGGTCGCTCTGTGCTTAGTGATGCGGGGGGATACAGTAATAGACTTGAGAGTGACTCACTACATATCTGTATCGACGTGCTTGATGCATGATCCTATCCATCGTTTGATCTCTCGATCTCCCGCTCTAATATCCAAGCATCGCTTGGCTTGATTTTCTTGTAATACGCCACTTCGATGCCCTTCTCCTTAAAGCCATGCCGCTCATAGAACTGTTTTGCGCCATCGTTTGACACTTGTACGTGGAGATATATGCAGTCAACCTGTGATTTGGAATGGGTAGCGGCCGCTTGTAAGATAATATCCAGGCTATACGAGCCTATACCAAGAGATCGATAGGGCTGGAGAGACCGGTGAACATTCACTAATGGAGCAATGGTAAGATTGTATCAGGGTATACGCACGGCGAGAATTCCCATGGTCAATAGATACAGGTGATTTGCACTGTCTTTTGATTCGAGTCTGCAGCAAATTGTTCCAACGGGGATATCATTGTAATAGACTACGAATGCAGTTAGTACGCTGATGGAGCGAAGGAGGTGATAGCGGACTCACTGAGCTTGCAGAAGTCCTCAACTTCGGGCAATAGTATCTCACTGTAGAACTGCTCACTATATTTGATTGGAAAAAGAACAGAGTTCAACTTTCGGACTGTTCCCAGGTTATTTGGGGTCAGAGACGCAAAGGTAACTTTGGAGGACAATGACTTTTTTGTGGAGGTCATGGGATGGTGGTGACACAATGCGGTTGGTAGTCAGCGCCACCAGAGCTCCCACAAGCCACATACGGCCATGAACGGGCGCCGGTCCACCTCACCACGCGCGCACGTTCACTAAGTTAACATGATGGGAAGCAGATGGATGTTTAAGGGCAGTACCATATGGTGACAAATGATCCCCTTAGTTCACGTTCTGATGGACAGAATACAGTCTCTATCGGTGAGCATGGAGTCCCGAATCCTAACCTGATCGGGGAGGGGGCTATATGGTACTATTCCCCTACAAGCGTGCCCAGACAGTGCCTATATTAACAATTTGATTCGCCATGAAGGGTTCCTATATCCAGCTGAATGCGTGGAGGATCATTTACTCAGGTTTGGGTAAACCCCATTCAGTCTAGTGATAGTGATGGGTTTTATAGTCTTCTGGAATATTTTTTAAGAAACGAATATGGGTAGGCTGTGCTGCTCTCTTTGGCGCCATCAACCTGGCATAGAAGCTCCGCATGGACCAAAACAGCTCTAAGTCACATACACTCAATGCGTTGCCGTTGCGCCCTCCATTGAAGTGCAGTTATAAGCCGAAGCGCCACGACTTCGAAGCTAAGCATCCTTATTGGGAACACGCAGTTAATCCCGGGACCTGCCAATTGATCATTCGGGTGAGTTCTTCTCATTGATTCCCATGTCGGCGTGAAGGCGGGGACTCAGTTCGGGTGTCTCTCTTTCGCTGTGTCTTGTCAATCGGTCGGCGCAGATGTTGTTGATGGGGACCGGTGAGCCCCGAGCATTTAGCCGTTCACAAACTGTATACCCATACACAGCCCCATTTTGGGGCAAGCTTGACACATTCGGAATCAAATACACAGAACGAGCTTTGAGCCGTTCGGGTGCAGATGCCCCGAATTCGGTTGTTTACTACCTTCCCCTCCCCCCTCCCCTGGACGACTTAGGCAGGTGAGGCATGTTAGATATCAGCGAGTTCCTCATCATGTCATCGCGAGGAATCGGTCTTGACCTTGACCCACGATGGTCATTTACAGTATTTCCAGTACCCACGGTGCCGCTCAGGATTCAAAACCCGCGCCAACGTGATGTTGCGCCCATCAGCTAACCTTCATACTTCGTGATCTCTTTGTCCACCAGTTTTGGTAGGCCACATCACAAGGTACATGGGCGTCGGCTCTGCTCGTGGCCTCAGGCAGCCAAGACAGATCAATCCGTCATTTGCGCGTTCTCATGTTACTGTACCAGCGCTCCTGATCCAAATATCTCCATTAAAGACGAAAGGCCATGATGACCGAGGCTCGCGTGGGATAAGGTAGCGGCCCTTTAGCCAACTCCTGCCGCAAACCGCACCACCACCCCACTCTCGGGGAAGCACGGGAATTGCTCTCTTTGCGATCGGACGGATGGCCTCGCTTTGCTGTTGGTTTCGTTATCATGACGGTCAAACTCAGCCCTGCAAGGAACAATCTTGCCTGCTGGGACCTGGCTTGTTCACTGCCTTCCTCGATACAGCTAGATGCAACCACGCGTTCTGGGCATCTTCTTCGGGATCGTTCTTAGTGACTGACCAAATTAGGTTAGAGGAAGCTGAGCTCGAGGTGATGCAGTATGTGAGGTCATGGTTGTCCCTATCTCCCATACATTACGGCACAATGTCCCTACTTGTCCCTCAGACCCTTCAATAGGAACGGTGCCTACCCTCTCCAGCGCGCTCCGTCAAACGGGTGACCTTCAGGCCTCAGGTGTGCGACAACTGCAGTAAAAGGATGGAACACTTATCCAGAGACACTATCTGACAGGTACTCGAGGCTTCCCTGTTTTTTTTTTCTCCCCTTGACATAAGTGAATGGGTGCTCCCCACTGCTTCATCTCAGGCCCCTCAGGCGCGTGCTCTACTGACCTGATCTGATTCCGGCTTCAATGACTCCAATCCAGGGCTTCCCGTTATCCGGATGGAGCTAATTTGGTGGGATACTGTACCGGACCAGAGCGTCAGGCAGGACTTATTCTTCAGACTCTCCGAAACTTCTTGCTTAACTTTGGCTCAGTCGGTACTGGATGCGTGCGGCACTACGGGATTAGAGATATCTGGTACTATTCATTGCCGTGCTTCTGCTTTCTTTCAGAAATAAAGATCTTGTACGCAAAGGGTGGAAAATGGTACCTGTTATCCTTACCTACTTTCCAAGAGTCGCAACAACTCGGAATCAATGTGTGTGGTACCATACTGCAAGGTCCATCGAGTTCGCTGAACGTGCTGAACGTCAGAGCGTTATGCAGCAATGGGACAGACGCTCGATGACTCTACCTCAAGAGCGCGTTACAGTGGCCCTTGAGACAGTGCCAGTATAAGAAACAATAATTCCTGAAATTTCAAATCTTCACGAGCTACTACTTCGAGAAGTAAGATGTTCTCCTCGCTACTGTATCGCGATGGCCCTGTTCGCCCGACGGGAATTTGTGGCAACCGTGAGTCTCTCACAGTCCCTCTTCATGTGGCTGTGGCCACGAGGGCAGATGGACTCCGAGAAACAGATCAACATTAAAATGAGTAAACGTTCTCACATCGTGTAGTCGCTCCAGGAGTACAAATACAGTGATATTTAAAGACAACATGACGAATTCCGGATGACCGTGAAACCCATGTTGAAAGGCACCGTAAACTAATTAGCGCCATATAGCAGACTAGAGAAACCCCTTATTTTTGAGACATGAAACTATACTTGAGTAAGTTTGGGCACCATTCCGCTAAATTCAGTGTCTCCGGCTTGTCCCGCGTGGCGTCCGTACTTGCTTTGGTGGTGCAGATTTGCGCATCCGAGGTGAAGAGTCCAGTTCCGCCAGGTAAACATCTTCAAAGCTTCGAAATGTACAGGGGCCGAAATCGCCATCGTATTCCGCCATCGTTGCCCACACACAATGCCATCCGGGTTCCTCCGCAAATTTCAAAGCCAGGGCGAGATGCTCGACGCTCCATCTGCTCTTTATTGTCTCGGACCATTCATGGGCGGTGTCCCTCAATTTGACCAGCCGTGCATGTGTGACAGTGAGGTGGACACTAATCTGACCACCTGAGGGTTTGAAGAGTGGCACAAGCACCGAGTTCATCTCAAGTTCCTTCGGGATTCCGCGATGGACAGGGTCGTAACCATCAACGCGGACTTGATAGATGGTGTTATCGGCGAAATGGAGTGTGACAGCTGGATGTGTGGGAGACCGGCGGATGCGAATAAGGACTTTGCCAACGATTTGATCTGGATCGACACCGATCGAGTCTAGGCGAAGCGACTCTGGTTGCTTCCGCTGTTTCTCGGGTGTAGCGGGGGGAGTAGAGAGATGGCTACGCGAAGCTGAACTTGATGACATGATGTGTTGCAGACTTGTACAGTAAGTTACAGTACCCTTGAAATGTCAGATTATATAGCACATTGGTCGAAGAATTTGTGGCTGGGAGGAGTGTGTGTCCTTTACGCAAATCCACAAAAAAAGATTGGCACTGACGAGATTCGAACTCGCGAGGTTTCCCATCACGGATTGTCCAGAGACCTAAACGTGACGCCATAACCACTCGGCCACAGTACCCTGGTAGAAAGCCGAAGGAAAGAAGAACAGGACACGTGAGAGTATCGGTTGTTAAGGGCCTTGTCAAGACTTCCGGTCGTTGCACCAAGCGGTATGGACACGATTCCTTGTCTTTTCTGAGAACCACTTCTTCACATCCGTTGCGCCCCCCGTTTCTTTCGCGTGGACGCCGGCAGTCCCTCGTCCCTATCTACTCGCCGTCGTCGTCTCCGCCTCCACATACCACTTTCCCAATGTCTTCCATGTTACTCTCCACTGGCTCTGGCGGCCAGGCGCACCACCCTGCTCCGGCTCGCCCTCACGGACCTCGCACCTTCCAGAGGTCCGCCTCCCCTGCTCCCTATTCACAACCAACCCAACCTCTGAACATACGCAAAGTGTCTAAACCGGAAACACTTCTGACCCCTCCGAGTCCTCCCTTATCTCGTACACCTACACCGAAGCTAGCTCTTCAAATACCAGCCCCCTCCGCTACTCCAGGTAAAGGTAAACCTAGTCTCAAGCTCGCCATCAGCGGCCCCAGTTCCCGTCCGGCTAGCGAACCAGCAGTAACAGGTGTCTATGGCGGTGATTACTATGGGGGTCCACAGACACCTTCGGTGTCGCCTCCTGCCAACGATAGTGGCATCGATGATGCCACAATTCGTCCCTCCACGAATACATCTAGACCTCTCTCAATGGAGGATGTCCGTCGCACGATAACAGATATCGAGGCCCAGACCCGCTCCACCCCCCCTCCGCCCACATACCCCGGAGAAGAGCAAATCGATGATCAGTCACAAACCGAATGGTCAGACCATGTCTTCGATGAGGTTGCCCGGCTCGGAGAAGGTGCCGGTGGTGCCGTACACGAGGTCAGGGACAGGCGCACAGGGAAACTCATGGCGCGCAAGACGATTACCACTCGTGAGGCCCCCATGAAGCAGGTGGTGCGCGAGCTCGGGATTATCACCACGATCAAACATCCCAATGTTATTCGTTTCTATGGCGCATATATGTCCCCATCATCTAGCGAAGTCAAGGTGGTGATGGAAGTATGCCCTGGGAAGAGTTTGGAAGCCGTGGGCAAGCGTATCAAGGAACGTGGTGCCAGAGTTGGTGAGAAAGTGGCAGGGAGGCTCGCGGAAGGAGTACGTATTGCCATTGCTTAATGATATACAACCACATCTTTCTTCAGATATTACAGGGTCTAGCTTACCTCCATACGAAAAAGCTCATTCATCGCGACATCAAACCTTCCAATATTCTTCTATCCCGCGAGGGTGTCGTCAAACTTTGCGACTTCGGCGTTTCAGGAGAATTGATCGGGTCTGTAGCGGGCACGTTCACTGGCACCAGTCTCTACATGGCTGTCTGTATTGTTCACATTGTCACGTAATATCTGCGTCTGACATGCGCCTGCCTTGCAGCCCGAACGTCTTTCAGGTCTCGAATATTCCATCCGCGCGGACGTCTGGTCGACAGGCCTGTCACTCCTTGAGCTTGTGCAAAACCGTTTTCCCTTCTCCAGTGACATGCCTCCCATCGAACTCATGATCTATATTACACAAAGCGAGGTGCGTGTCTCATTTATACATCGTGCTCTGCGATTTACACGGCTTATTTTACGTTTAGCCGCCGCAGCTAGAAGACGAAGCAGATGTACGCTGGAGCGATGCCATGAAGGATTTCATCAAAGAGACGTGCGGATAGTTGCCAGCCCCCTCCCTCGTGCCTTCATTCTGACATCATCATCTCTTCCAGCTTACGAGTCGACCCGGCCTTGCGTCCAACGCCAAAGGAAATGCTGGACCATGAATGGATTGTTAGAATTATGAAACAGGAGGTGCCCATGGAACGGTGGATCCGAGAAGTCTGGGGTTGGCCCAAGCCCAATCGGAAATCCAAGGATTCGTGAGGCCAAACTTTGTTACACACTCCTTCCTGCGTGCTGATTACACCTCGATCGCTACCTACCAGGACTTCTCGTTCCAGTTCGAGTCGGAGGGAGGTTGTAATACCCGATGTTCGTCCCTCTGATGGCCGCTGAAGCGGCCACACCGCTGCCCAATAATTACTCGATTGCTCCAAATCATTATGAACACACGCAATCACGGACATCGTTTTTCATCCATGATCTCCCTTGCTATCTCCCGCTTGCGTCGCTTTCAGGAGCCCGTTTAAACGCATTCGACACTTTTTGTCCTCGCACTCACCACGTCTCTTCAATATCCCTCGGTTACATCTCCCGGTTCAATAGGAACCCTTGTTCAAGCGTATGTAGAAAGATCAAAACCTCGTTAACATTGTATTTTCGCCACGTGTGAATGTGATTTCCTCCAATTTATCAAGGCTTTCCTGTTCTGAGTTGGTTCGGTCATGGTCCCGCCAGAAGTTGATATGTGAGTCGATCTAATTATCGTAAAGTGTAGAAGAAGGGACAAGGCCACCAAGCAGCGCTAAACAATCTCCATTTGAAATACGCTCACTTTTTCACACAGACGGGCGGGGAAAAAAGTATATGTATAGCTATTCACGTAAGAAAACGACCATATTCGGGGACTGGAGAGCTGCTCGCCAACGTGCCTACTGTGCGTGTCTTTCCACAAAGGACGCTGATTTAAACTACCAAAAAGGAAAACATCCGCTAGTGGTGAGGTTGTTTGATGTGTCTATTTGATTTTCGAACTCTGGAGAACAGGGAAGGGCGTCTGTCAGTCAAATGCGCAAACCAAGAATCCCGAACGTGGGGCAAGGCCGAACTCGCCCTCGCGATGATGGGGATTTTTGAGCGGGGAAAGAGCTTTGTGAAGATGAGAATTTTCAAACCCGTTTACACCCCACGACTGGTCGCGCTATTGCGTCGGTCTCGCAGACGCGATTCATTTGAGAGTGACTGACTGACGCTGAGCGCTCGACTGAACTTCTACACTTGCCTTTTTTGGCTGGTGATGATAAGCACCGCCAGCAGGTGTACCTCTGACGTATTTCTGCAGGACGACAACAAAAGAACTTATGTACTGTTTATGTACAAGCAGTTTCCGCACGTTCTACGGCCAAACATTTTTCGTCCAGTGGTCATTGTGAGCGGTTCTTAAATTCTGAAACCCCGAGAGGCCAGGAAGAGTAACGGTGGAACAGAAGAAGGAAGACGATGGAATGATTCTGGTTCGTTCATCGTGAGTGGGGGCCTCGGCTGCGGCTTCTACGGTACGGCAAAGGGCCAAGTTTTCGGATCTCGGTCTCCGCCGTGCTCGCTGCTGTCATGAATGATTGTAGCCCAGGGATCCGACCCATGGCCAGCTGCACCCCACACCGAATAACGACCGTGACAAGTATGTACAAGAAAACGAGGACCAATGGGTCTGGACTCGTGGCTAACTTTTAGCACTCGTGCCCTACATCGTGACGGTCCACGTCTGAGCCTGTCCTTGGGGCTGCTGCGAAGTTCGCAGTCTCGTGCTCCTCAGTATTTTGGCATACTACTAAATTGTGCAAATTTTGATCATCAAGACGCGTCCTAAAACGCGTCTTGGACAGCCTTCCCGCCTAATTCATCAAACAATCGACTTTACGCCGCGACCTAGTTGACCAAGGGTGTATAACCGCTCCATTGGTCCCTCTTCTGATTACTCATGGTGACGCCTGCCAACTTGACTCAACCGTTACGCAACGCTCTCTTTCTTGTGCTGCGACTGCGACTGTCCTCACGTGTTGCAGTCACGGGCACGCACGCACCCTTCCCCTTTTGTCCCAGTGATTCACTCGTGCTAGTACTGGCTGTCCTAACTTTCTCAAAAATTATCCCTCGCCTACTACCTCGGGCAGTCCCCGACAGGCGGGCCGGTTGCAGCAATACAACCCTATCTCCCAATCTACGGTCCCCCGTTCCACTGCCTCAGTCATGTATTCTGTGATATAATCGTCAAACCTCGGAGAGTGACACATACAGTAAGTGTGATCCCTCGCGACGGCGTCTTCAACATTTTCAGTTGCGACCGAAAGGCACCTCCCCCTGGCGGTGGTCTCCGGGTTTTGTCCTGAGGGCGATTGAACCAACGCAATGGCCATACATCCGGATCCCAACAAAGTTTCAAGTAGCTTCCATGCCTGACTCTTCCCTACAGGTAATATGATATGATGAGCTGGTGAGAATCATCATCCAGTTCCATCAGATCTGCTGGATTTATTAATCTCTGCCTAACGCTGACGGTGGCACCGTAGTACCAAAAATGACCCTAAGAATACGCTACGTGCCTGCTCCATCGAGTTTCGGCATCGCAACATGATGGCTAGACCGGTCTCCTTCTGCCACCATTGCGGAATCCGAAACTGAGCCAGAAGTATCATCTCAGTTCGCTTGATCTCTATACTTGCCACCAAGACCACACTGATGTTCAGGGCTTTGTCTCCATTCCCCATTAGGAGGCCTTAGTCTTTACGGCTCCGGTACTGTACCACCTCGGAGACCGTTAAGCTGAGGTTATTCGAATATTATTTTTTGACTTTTTAGTTGCGAACACTTCTCCACTGAGAATGCTTCAAGGCAAAGCTAACATCTTCCTTAGAATCCTTACGAAGCCGAAAGCCTGGCGTTTCAAGAAAAGTTCGTACAAAGCCTACAATTCTACGGCCCACGAGGGCAAAGGTGAACGTATACCCTATTACACACGCGATCTAGATTAACCAAATAAAAAAAAAGCATTTTTCGTGCGATCACGGACGCAATTCATCCGATCTATCTCTCCCTCGGCCGCGACCCCGGCGGTGCTTGACACCACGTTCCATGTTGTATACTGGCCCATAAATGAACCCGCGGAAAAGGCATGGCATCTGCGGTGGAGACGCGTTGAAATTTTATTTTAGAAACACCCTGGACTTTGTAGGTCGAGGAATAGCGGCATATCGCGCATTCAACGCACACCCTCAGAATTGAACTGAGAAGGGTTGGCAAGGTAACATCGTTGGCCTTTGTGCTATGGCTCCTGATTAAAGGATTGATACCGCGGACGATGATGGAA